TGTTGACTCTATAAACTGCTTAGAAAGGGCTGTAAAGCTCTGTAAAGCGGTATATAAGTCTAAGTGCTATTGCTATTTTAACCCTGGGCAGCAAATATTCTCTTTTATCAATAGTGATCTTGCAATAGTTCTGTTTACTGTTGTTTTCTTTATAGTTTTTTTCTTGCAACTCTCTCTCTCTCTTGGTTGTCTTGTTTTCCTGTAACAATTGTATTGTTATCAATGTTGTTGTTGTTGTTGCTACTGCTGCTGTTGCTAAAACTTCCAAGAAAGTTTAAAAGATTACATTGGTTATATTTACAAGAACACATATATTTTTTTCCTCTTAGACTGACAGCTTGGACAACTGTTGGCTAGCTACATAAACTGGTCACAAAGTACAAAAGAGTTCTGTTTTCCAAAACTAAAGTCACATAAATATGCCAAAGACTTTTTGCTTTCAGAGTGAAATGGGTGGCATATACATTTATTAAACAAATAAATTCAGGTTCAAGAAGTTGTTTTTTATCTGTGTGATATTGATGAATACAAAGAGACAACCTGGGGAGAAACCATCTACTCTGATTATGCACTAGTAAAGTATCTGATTTTCTGACCTTAGAACATTTGATGCTCAGCAGTCTTTCAGTCCTGCATGTAATGGAAAGAATTATTTGGAGTTGGCAGGCTGCACTTTAAGGAATTGTTTGCTCTTTCTCTCTTTCCTGTTTTAAAAAACAAACAACTTCAAACTTCTAGGTTGATGGAGATTCCTGTAGAGAACATTATGACCATGTAACAACTCAATTGAGCACCAGATTGATTTCTTATATCCTTCTCTGTTGAACAGGATATTAAAACCACACTACCAATCTACTGTTATACCAATTTCAAGGGTTGCAATAATGCTGCACCACTTGTTCAGGAACACTTACATTGTAGCATTACCACCCGAATAGTTCATTCAGATGTTTAATCTTGACACAGCAGATGAAAAAATAATTTTAAAAAAATCCCTAATACTTTTTAAGACAGTTTTTATAACAACTCTCTTGATCTGTAAGTTAAGCAACTACATTTCTTTGTTTTTACTTTCACATTCTATGTTTTGTGCAGCAGAATCATATTTATTTGCAAAACAAGTACAATGAGTTATCATTTGAAAAGGTTCACGCACGTTGCAGTCCTATGCTCACTGCCCATACAGTCAGGAAATTACTTTGGTGCTCCTCATACCCTTTGCCATGATACGTGCAAGTATTTATGCACGTACAAATACCTGTACATGGAAGTATTTATGAATCTAGAAGTTCATTTTTGTTGTAATTTTTTAAAAATGTAAATACATGCTTCAACTATGTGTGATTACTGTGATCCACCAGAACTGATCTTGTCATGGAGTAAATGGGCAGCAGTGACTGGAATCTATTAACATCGGTTCTGTTATAAAATTGCACATTGCATTATATGGGAAGGAAGGATGTCTAAAAAACAGCATGTAGGAATGGGATAAATTTTAAAAATTATGTTTTTTTTAAATATATAGAGTTATTTGTGTTTTCAAAAACCTTATATTTTAAGAAATTATGTACATCATCATATACAGATTTTCCAGTAGCAAACATATATTTGTAGAAAACTGACAATATCTATAACTTTAATATTAAAACATGCCAGATTTAGACTGATTAGCTTATCACAATCTAGAGATTAAGTTAAAACTGGTCCATGTTTTACAGGATTTTAGGCTGTAAAATTTTTTCCAGAAATGAAAATAGCTGAATCTGAGAATTTTAAAAAAAAATTATTGAGTTACAGTTTCTCAAATGGTAGATTGTAACTCTGTGGGGGTTATGAGCAATATGTAAGAGGAGAGGTGATGTGTTTTGTTAAAATACAATATAGATGTGTGCAGCTAAACTAAAAGCAATTTTAAGATTCATTCCCAGCTTTGCTGCTTGCTTTGCCTGTATAAGCTAGCCATAGGATTTCCCAGAAAACAAGAATAAATGTTGACAGCATTGTTATTTTTCCGCCAGAAATATGTACCAGGTGCCTGTGGTCCTGCAAAGTTTGAGAAACATGATTGTACTTATTAAAAGTATTTATCATATTTATTTCTAGCCTAACCCTAACCTCAATGAACTGATCAGTTTTATTCATGGGAGGAGGTATATAAACTTGTTTATCATTTCAAGGTGTTCTGAAAATTTTGAGGGACTCTGGATTACCAACCTGTCCTTGAGGGAGCAATATAAGTCCAACATACTAGGCTAGTTTATGTGTTCTTTCTGATTCTGAAGAAGTGATTTTCTAGAGCAGTTCTTCACCATCTTGTGCTAACAAGATGTGTTAGATGACTATACCCCGAGTTTTCAGATAGCATGCCGAATCTACTGTAGTAGAGACTTTTTCTTTGCTTCTTATACGCATGAATCTTGCTTCATCCATTGATTTAGAGATGATGTGGTTACCTTGTATTTAATTATGTGGCTCCTTAGGGAATCTCCTGGCTTGGCAGCAGCTAACTTTCCTCTCTGTGTTCAAAAACAGTGACTGTTCCAAGACTAAATGTATTGATTTTTTTATTTTTTTAGCACATGTAATTTGCTGGCTTTTTAAAGATGTAGAGTAGATCTTGAGAGGAAGTTTTGGGAGAATGTATAAAAAGGAGTATGAGAAATTATAGCAAGATTCAGTTCTACAATTTTTCTGTCTTGTGGCAAAGCTTACCTTGGAAGTATACAAAAATAGTAATATATAACCATATATTTGCACTATTGTTTTCATCACAGAACTTAGTTACCAAATAAGGCAAAACTATTTCCAACAACAATTCATGGTAGCCTTCAAAACAAGAAATGCCATACTAACTATTAGTCAGGACATAGCAATTCATCTTTTTATAAAAGTATTATTTCAACAAACATTAAGAGCCAGGTGAGTCATAACAATTTAATGTGAGGTCAAACTATTTTAGGTTGTAGAATCCTGTCTGTTGTTTTTCTTTTGCTTTGAAACTGTTCCTTTTTTATGGTTTATTATGCTGTACATCCACAAAATAATGTCCTGAAACAGAATCCTGGCAATCCATCATTTCAACCAATGGACTGTTTTAGATGTTTCTCTTATGTATATGAGTATGTGTATCCTTTTCCAGGTACTCATTCCAGGATGAAGAAGACATGTTTATGGTGGTGGATCTGCTTCTTGGAGGAGATTTACGTTACCACCTGCAACAAAACGTCCGTTTTGAAGAGGAGACTGTGAAACTATTCATCTGTGAGCTAGCACTGGCATTGGATTATCTCCAAAGCAGGAATATCATCCACAGGTGAGCCGTGGATAGGAGAATTACATTAATGTTTTCAATGAGTATCAAACGATGGCTTGTTGGGCCATTGAAACTGTGATGGATTGAATTTCACTAGTAAGATGCAAGCCTATGTGTTTCCCTTTTAGGTAACATTTGTGACTGTGTGGTATTCACAGTACTCTCTGAAACAAACAGATTTGAGCCAACAATATATTTTAAAAGAAAAATTTCATATTTTTCAAATTTAATATCTTAATACAAATATTTTCTTTTATTTCTTCTTTTATAACTGACTATCCCATTCTGCAATACAGACACAAATCTTATATAAACTACCTGTTCTGTCACTGATGGTAGATAAACATACAGAATATTTCTATTTCTAAGGCTTTGGACAGACAAACTGATACATATTCTAAAAATGCATATACTCATGTATGATTTGTTGGTGTGTGTGTGTGTGTGTGTGTGTGTGTGTGTATGTACTGCAGAGGTGGTATTCAGCAGCTTCTGTCCAGTTCTAGAGAACCGGTAGCGGACTTTTCAGTAGTTCAGAGAACTGGTAAATACCACCTCTGATTGGCCCCGGCCCCATCTATTCTCTGGCTCCCGAGTCCCAGCTGATTGGGAGGAAATTGAGATTTTATATCCTTCCCTTGCCACACCCACCAAGCCACACCTGCCATACCATGCCCACCAAGCCACGGCCACAGAACTAGTAGTAAAACATTTTGAATCCCACCACTGGTATACTGTATGTTTGATGTGTGTGTGTGTGTGTGTGTGTGTGTGTGTGTGTACAGTATGTGTGATGTGTGTCTGTGTGTACAGTATGTGTGATGTGTGTATGTATACTGTATGTGCGATGGGTATATATTTATGTTTTATATTTATATATATTAAAAATGGGAGAATATGTGATTGAGAATGAATAGTATAACCTGGCTTTAAGTGATTTCTATGAATCCCTGCATATCAACCCTGTTATTCCTAAATTTGGAATACTGTGTTCAAATGATTTAGAGATACAAATTCATTTAAATTAATGTATTTAAACCTGGCTCCTCCATATACACTCATGTAAAAATGTACACATATCAGTCTTGTGAAAGTAAAACAGTTTCTGCAAAGCAATTTGAACATGAGAAATGTGATAAAATCGAATCTTTTTTTAACTCTTTTTGTTGGAACTCCTGCCCTGTGAGCTGTTCCTTCTTTTGGGAAAGAAATATGCACCATGAACATTGTGGAGGAAATAGAAAAGTCACCAGTGTTCTATACGGTTCCTCTATAAACCAACACCATCTCCCACAAAGATGTGGTAGTTTAAAGAAAGGACTATTACATATTAAAGAAAAGTTCATTACATATAAGTGAATTTTGGTAAAAAAAAATTCTGGCCTTATATTTTGCATTTACAAAATAGCTTCTGTAATTATGTCCACAAACACTGAAATGTAAAAAAAAAAAAAAACCTTCACAGAGTTAAGTTCACATCCATCAATCTTTCTGACAGGTGATTCTCTAAGATTAGCTCTTTGGCCACAATTGAGTCTCTACAAGTCCTATTATTTCAAACAAACATTACAAGTTGGGGTGAAATCAACTTACCTTCACTACCGGTTCCCAAATACATACATACACACAATGTGTGTGTGTGTGTGTGTGTGTGTGTGTGTGTGTGTATGTGTATATGTGTATATGTGTATATCTGTCGTGATGGACTCTTGTGACGAGCCNAAAGAAAGGAAGAAAGAAGAAAGAAAGAAAGAAAAAGTGAGAGAGAGATGAAAGAAAAAAAGGAAAAAGGGACAGAGAGACAAAAGGAAGGAGAGAGAGAGAGGGAGAGAGAAAGTAAACACATGGCCGGCAAGACACTCCCACTAGGTCACATGGCTGGCAAGCCAGTCCCACAAAGGAGGCCACACCCACAGAGTAGGTTCGAAAATTTTTTGAAACCCACCACTGGGACAGTAATATACTGTAAGCTTCTCTTCGGGGAGTTGGGTGATCTTAACAGTTCTAATAATTTAGGCTAGTTAACTAATATGCTGGGTAACAACAATAAAGCCCTTGATTAAAAAGAAGAAGAAACATAGTACTTCACAATGAAATGTGATGGAAAGCATCATTAGGTATCAGTGAGTTTGGTTTGAATCCTGGTGCTTTAACGTGGGTTCAGTAATAACTCGTACCTCTTCTAAGGGCATTCCTTCATTTCTTTAATCCTGTCTATCCATCTTATATATTGTTTTCTCTGTCGTCTTTTAGTTTAGTTTACTTTATTGTCATTGCACATGGTATAATGAAATTAAATTTTCTCTGCCTTGCCAGACATAATATTTTCTTTTGGTCCATAATGGAAAGCTGTGATTTCTTAAATATGAAGGAGCTATGAAGCTTTAATGTAATGGCCACATTAAAATGTTTTCTTCTGATCCTGTTGAAGGTGAAGAAATGTAGCCAGGATACTTTGCCCTGTTTTGCCTAAGTAATGAAGCAGGAATGGTGTTGTCTTTGTAGCTTTAATGTGGGTTATAGTAAGGAAAAGTGAGTGGTGGTTTCCTCTGATTTCATTTGCCTTCCCACCACCACCAGCTGATGGAAAGAAATTCCTGCCAATTGCTTTCCTTATCATGGACAGAGGTGGAGGGAGACACATTTTGATAGATGTCTGGATTAGTGGCTTTAGTCTCAAACTTTGCTCAATTTTTGCGCAAGCATTTTGGGTGACTACATTCAAAAAGCATGGAATAATATTGCTGTTACGGAATGATTTTAAGGCCACATCCGAAAGGAATTGTCAGGTTTTCTTTGACTGCAGCAGCCATGCAAAAGCTTTGTACCTTTTGTTCAGATGACTTTTTGTCATCTGCAGTCTCTGCAGGAGGATTAAAAATAAATTTCCTGTGTTTTGCAAAGGACAGTCCCTTTCGAAACTGGCAGTGAGAAAAGGATCACAGTCAATCTGTAGATTCTCAGAACATTAAAGTCCAAATGAATTCAATCATCCTGCTTCCCAGAAGGGGCAAAAAGCTTGCTCCAATTGAACATTCTTATAGCTACTGAATATAAATCACTATGCTGTTAATTACAAAAGCAATAGTCAGCAATCACAGCAGACTTTCTTGGTTCCACCTTTGCCATTGGATATTTAATTTGAATGCTACTATCAAATAAGTGTTGTAGTTGGGAGTCTTTGAAATCTGGGGAGGCTGGACTTTGGAAATAGAAATGGACCCTACCTGTTGTATTGCACTATTGAATTGAATTGAATTTATTGCATTTATATGCCGCCCTATTCCCGGAGGGACTCAGGGCGGCTCACAATTCAAAGGGAAGGAAATACAGACAAGGGAAAAAAACGGCACAACAAACAACTACAGAAAGAATTTAAAAACAATCAACAGCCACACAGTTCGAGCGGGGATGGGAACTCGTCAGCCCCAAGCCAAAAGTTCCTTAACATATGAATCTAGCAATCCTAGATACTCAAGAGTAAACTGGAGTTTTATCCTCCGTTATGCTCTTCTGAGGCTGTTCTGGAGATAGCATTGGAATGCTCCAAATAAATAAGAACGACAGCTAGTACTTTTATATTTTTAGTCAAAAGCTCCAGCTGAGAGTCATTTCATACAACACTCCAGTGAAGTCTTAGACAATCTCAGGAATGCCTTCATTTTTTTTTTGTAATCTGAATTGTAACACAGACAGAAATGAATAATGGAATTTTAAGTATCCTGATTTAGAATCCAATTCTCTTATCTCCCATTTGATTTGGGGGAAAAAAGTATTCCATTTTGTTTTCAAAGGAAGAATGGTCTTCCAAGGCAAACAGCATCTCTAGAAGGTTCATCCAAAGTGGGATTAAAGTGGGGAGGAGAATTAATGCCTATAATGGTTGTTTACATTTTAAAATGTTTACTAATTACATCCAACTGAGTTTGTTACTATTTGACCTAGGGAATAGATAACCTAAAACAAAATCGGAGCCTGTAATTTCAAAAAGTCCAAAGCACACTGCAAACTGCCGACTCTCTACATCTAGCAACCAAACCTGTGTGTCAAATCTGGGTTGCTTCTAATTCATATTTAAAATATGGACGCGGTTAATTTAAACCTCTCCCCTACCAGTGATGCCTTCTCCTACCCTCCTCCCACCTTCAAACCTGAAAATTGAGATGGGAGAGTCCTAAGACAGCTCTTCCCTATCAGTTTTTCTGCTGTTGCATTGCCCATATGCACTGCTGGAGAAGAAATTGGTACATGGTAAGTGGTGCTATCATTTCATTTAGTTTGATCCCCGGGTACCTCTGTTCCTTTTCATGAGTCTTCCCGGCATGTAAAAGGTTTCAACTATTTGTCTCCTCTGGTGTTAATTTTCTTAGTGCTTATTTTTCCCTGTTTAGCCTATCTAGTGTGTATAAAGCAGAAAGCAGCAGCCTATCCCTAGAGAGACCCTGTCTACAAGCCCTCATTGAAGAAAACAGACAACATGATAAATGAGGGGATCTTATGATGCTCTTTTAGCTGGAGCAATAAATAACACCTGCCATCCCTGCTTCTCTGAGCTGTTGGCCATTGACTATAAATAATATGTTTTTGGCAGCCAATACCAAAAAGAAAGTAAATTAATTTCCCCAAGCAAATAGCATCAAACACATGGATATTAAATGGATACTTTGGGCACAGATCACCTTAAAACACAAGCATTCTTGGTAACTCACTTGTGTTAAACTTTAAACCCGGATTTTCTCTTATTATGGCCAGACCAGCCTCTTTGAGCAGAAGTTACAGAGTTAAACCTTCATTCAAACGGGATTGTCTTTTGTCATAGATGTGAAAAATATTGAACCATGGATCTTCCTAGTTCTATGCTTTTATGTCTGCCTTGGTGAGAATTTATTGCCTGGCCCTTTAGGCTGGAGTTACTTAACTAGCAGGTCAAGGCTGTAAATCCATCAGACTGTGGCACTGTTGTAAATGCATTCTGAATTCAAAAGGAATTGGGTTCCTGT